TCAAAAGAAAAAATGGAAAACAGAAAAATTTAGAAACTTTTAAAAATTCCAGGCCTTTTCCATGATTTCCAGAAGCCTTTTAAAAATTCCATACCATTTCCATGATTTCCAGATTCTGTAGGAACCCTGGTGACCTACTCTGAACTCTCGCTGTAATGGACTCGAATGTGCTGTGGTCCATTACAGCAAGAGTACCCTTGAAGCAAGGTCACAATAACATTTAGGGCCGTATAAAGTTCTAAAACATAGGTTCTAAATTATTTTTTTTTATTTTTTTTTAATGCACAAATTTTTAACTAAAAACAAGTTATTAAGGAATGGAAACATAATTTTGGAAAATATTTTCCACTCTGGTTTGCGGACTTTTCAGATATTTACAGAAACAGATTTTATGTGGGGGACTGTTCACCCTCAAAATTTAGAAAATAATGCTTTGTTGGTGGCGCTAGGTCGCCGAGTTTAGCGCCCCCGTTTCCCCGGATACCACCTCATCATGAAACTAGTCCATTACAGCAACGTCCATTGCAGCAAGAGCTCAGTGAATTTCGTTTTCTTTAACACTAATAGATATTTTAAACCAATCTTTGGTATTTAATTACGATCTATAATAACAATTTGAGCTTTATAATAGCTAAAAATAATATTATATAATATATTTTATAGAAATTTAAGAATAATAAAATTTTGTCTACAAATTTTTGAAAAAAAAATAATTAAGGAGTAATTAGAGGAAGAAAATTTATGAGATCAATATAAATCAAATTAAACCGAAAACTAAATTAAAAATGAGCAACAAGCTCAATAATAACAAAAAAGCCTAAAAGTAGTAATTATTTCTGACTTTTGTATATGAAAGAGCAACTCGAAAAATATTTTTATTAATATTTTTTTACTTTTGAAAATATGAAAGTGATTTACACGAAAGTTTGTAAAATTCGAAATACTTTTAAAGCCATAATATAAAACAATATACTTTTGCAAAAATCCAAACATTTTCGATCAAGCACAAATTTGCGTAAACCTAGGTGAGTTGAAACAGCCTGTTACAACTCGCCTAGGTGCGAAAAACTGTGCATCGGTTCGAATAATTATTTTTTATTTTAAATTTCGAGACTGACACAAAGAAAACAAAACCATTTCATAAAACTAGGATATCCAACAGTTATTAAGGTAAATATTAGAATAACAAAAATGTAATGTGTGTCGAATAATAAAGTATCAAAATTTCGGCTGAAAACTTACTTTTAGCAATTTTTTTGCACACATATTAAATACATCTCAAAAACTTTTCTCAGGTGGTCAAGTAAATTTGCATTAAATAGTGAATCAAAAATGTAATAAATTCATGCTTTTCAAAATTTTTAAGAGGTCATAGCTTTCGACAAATCGGCTTTGTTACAACTCACCTCGGTCTCCCCTAGAGTTAAAATTAAACTTTTCAAAATTTCGCTGTATAGAGTTGAACTGTATGGAATTAACGGTGTATACAGTTTCACTGTATATAATTAAAATGTGTAGAGTTGATATCCCGCCCTCCCCTGGACACGGTGGGTTTGAATAAAGTTCAACCCAAAGATGCTTGCGTATCAAAATTTCTTTATGATTTCTTTTCTAGGATGGCCCCTGATAATTTTGAGCCCAAAAAGAAAAAAATCGCTTGGGCCGTTTTTGAAAAAACTCATTTTTTGATTTTTTGAAAATATCAATTAACTTTTTCTCTAAAAAAGTAAATAATAGTATGGTTTAATTATTATACTGCCGTACTTGGTAAAAACTTAGTTAAGTCATATTTTAGTGAAACCGAGAAAATGACGAAAAACTGTTTGTATTAATAAACCTAATATAGTATAAAAAATTATTTAATTTAACTTTACTTCCTAGGTAAATTGATAGAGTTTTTTTTAATTCTGCAGTCAAAAATTAATTATTTAAACAAATTATATTAAATAATGGACTTAAGTGTTATTTTTAAAAGCAAAACTTAGTTAAATTGACTTAAGGAGTATTCTACGATTTTTACACTACGTAACTCGAGTTACTATACTTTTTCTCAAGTATTTCCTTATTTTCTCGATTTTCGCAGATTTTTAATAATTATTTTTTGCAATAAATAATTAAAATAAAATTTTTTAATAATATAAGTAGATGCAGTTTTTTTTACGAATCCATTGATATAAAAAACTCATTTTTCACAAAAAAGTGACTTAACCAAGTTTTTACCAAGTACGGCAGTATAGGTTTTTAATCAATTCAATTAACATAAGTAAACAGTCCCTAGGTGCTGAATATATGCATCAACTAAAACCCTAAAAAAATCTAAAAACATATGAAAACTCAAAAAAATTAAAGTTTTAGTTTTTGTGAAATAACTTTCTTCCAGTAAATCGAAAAATACTACTACTTATGGGTAAATTAAAGTGGACCTAATTTTGAGAACATCCAAAGAAAGTAAATGTTTATAGCTTAATTAGAACCAAAGTTATAACCATCTGAAAATTATTACTCTTTTTCTTTTTATTTCTATAACATTACATTTTTAATATATTTGGTATTACGATGTTATATTAATTAATAATTCGCTCTTAAAGTTAAAAAAAATAATATCGATATTATTTTGAAATGAGAATCTTATTACAAGCGTCATATGTGTCATTTGTGATTTTCATAATAATGTAAAAAAAGTTAATAATGTCGAAAACACACAAAAATTTAATGTAAATAAGCAACAAATTTGCTTGTGCTTTGGTAAAACAAAGAGAATGTTTCCGGTGATTAGACAAGGGAAACTGGAAATTATGGTAAAACAATTTTCATTATGCATTTTTGCGTGAGTTTTCGACATAATTAATTTTTTTTACATTATTATGAAAATCACAAATGACATATATGACGCTTGTAATAAGATTCTCATTTTAAAATAATATTGATTTTCTTTTTTCTTAAATTTTCAGTGCCAGTGATTAATTAATACAACATCGTTATACCAAAAATATTAAAAATGTAACGTTATAGAAATAAAAAGAAAATAATTTATTGTTGATAGATTTTTTCTACTTTAATGGTCATAACTTCGACAGTTTTAAAGATAAATCATTGAATTTTTGCAATTTATAGATATTTTCGTAGGCTTGAATTTTTGTGAGGATTTTTAACGGGTTAAAATGCAATGGAAGGGAGTAATTTTTAAGGGGAATTACTCATGAGAAAAAAATTTTTCTTCGAATTTTTTTGTTGCTTTTTTAAAATCCTAAATATCTCTAGAATAAAGGTTTAACATTTTAAGACAAAATTTAGCTCCTATCAAAAGTTATAGTACATCACACTACCGTCACACTGGCTCCACGCGCATGGCTAAAAAACATACCAATCTTTAAATCGTGATATTCCTGTAAAAACTATAATGTCAGAAACTTAACAAATCTATTGTTTGAAAGCTTATAATATTCTATGTTAAATGATATACAATTTAAAATTTTAAGAAATTACACAAATATTTTAACAATCGACAAATTTTAAAAAGAAAATTAAAAAATTAAAGTTTTTTTGACAATTTGTTAAACTCTGGCATATTTTTTAAAAATTGCAGACAAAATGTAAAACTTTTATAGGCGTGATCCTTTAAGTCTCATCTTTAATTTAAGACCAAAAACCTTAATAAATCTTATTCGGTTTGCGAGATATCATTGTAAATATCAGTTCATGTTTTTGGACAAATGCATTGAATTACTTAATTTTGTATGGTTTTTGACAATAAAAAGACTCGCGACGAACATGAAAAGGCTTTTTAGGAAGCTTATAACTTACTTTATTGACCTAAGATAGCAAATTAAAATTTGGTAAGATCTTATAAAAACCATTTAACAATAAATCTGAAAAAATCGTACTTAAACTTTAACTTTGTTTTTCTCAAAACGCTGTTTTTTAAATCGGTTGCAGGGATTCTGAGTAAACGGATGGATGTTTCTGTCTAATTCTTTTTGCATATTGTTAAAAAATATGTTTTTTAGTGGGTATACCTAAAAAATTTGAAAACAAAAATTTTTTAATACTTTTTTTTAATAAAAAATGTTGAGAAAAAAAGTCATTTTTCAATTTTCTTGTTGAAAGTAGTATGTACCATCTTTTTAATTTTGATTTTTAAGGTAATTTTAGGTATAACCACTAGATTAGTAGCTCAACTGTAAAAGTTCTTTTGGGGTTTTATTTTAGAACCACTGGGGACGGCCCTAGACCTGCAACCGCGGAACGCTTCAAAATAAAAGCATCGATTTTGACGCCCTCTGCAGCCTAACATAATACAAAAAATATCATTTTTGTATTGTTTTTAATACTTTAAATAAAATTTTTAATATGCAAAAGGGCTTTTTAACTTTTATAATAAAATAAACGAGAAAAAAAGTGTTGAATTTTGACATATTTTGCACACTTCTTATGAGGGATTTCCCTTAAAAACCAACTTTCTAACGGTTTTTTTAGATTTTTTACAGCATTTTAGTTAATGCATATATTCAGCACCTAGGCTAGGGACCGTTTACTAATGTTAATTTAAGAGATTTAAATCTATAATTAAACCATACTATTATTTACTTTTTTAGAGAAAAAGTCAATTGATATTTTCAAAAAATCAAAAAATGAGTTTTTTCAAAAACGGCCCAAGCGATTTTTTTCTTTTTGGGCTCAAAATTATCAGGGGCCATCCTAGAAAAGAAATCAAAAAGAAATTTTGATACGCAAGCATCTTTGGGTTGAACTTCATTCAAACCCACCGTGTGGACTATTACCCTTTTTATGTATATAAATATATATAAATATGTTTTTATTGTTTTTGATCCAATAACTATATTTTTCCTTCAGAATTTGAATACTTAAAAGTTTAGAAATTTATTATTTCCAAGAATTATTTTTAATGTATACATATTACGTTTCGATGGTTTTGAGTAGAGTAAAGTCTTGGTGGGGAATGTACACGTGCCTTTACTGCATCCTATGCCTGAACGTTAGGTTAGGTTTCGATAATGTTAGTGGTAATAGTGCTTTGTGTGTGAATTTCCCCGTTATCTTATATTTATATATGTATATAATATAAAGTGAATATATATTTTAATCATGATATAACGTAAAAAAATATCACCTGTGTATTTAAATTTAGTTATATTTACATTATAATATTTAGAATCAAATAAGTTAAATATCAGTGAAAAATCAAGATTTTAATGTGTAACTAAAGTTTGGAAAAAAAGTTTCTGAGCAATACAGGAAATTAATCGCTTGTGTGAGTAAATCACAGTGATGTCATATGCATCAAACATTCATTATTATTATTGTATATTGAAGAATAAGTAAAAATAGAGCCTGTACAATAAAATTTAAAAACGTTTTACCAATATATAAAATAAAATTAAATAATTGTTTTTATTAAACTGAAATATTTATATTTTAAATTCTATATCCCTTCTTGTTTAAATAAAGATAAAGATTGAGAAAACAAATTTAAAAAGAATTATTTTTAAATTAAAGTACAAGCGACTGAGAAATTGTTGCAACTTTAAATGCAAACTTGTCAAATTTATTTAATAATGTAGAAAACTTTATAAAAGTCCACAATATAAATATTCCATAATATTTATCTGATAAATCTCTGTATAGTATAAATTGTAGCATCCTTTATATGTTAAATGTAACAGATTACCTGATTTTTTAACGTAAAAATATTATTTATATTGAAAAGCCTTTAATTCGATCAGAATAATTTAGTTCAGTTTCCCAAATTATTTTATTCAATGATTTTGCTTCCCTTACAACAAAAAGATATCCTGATGAAACAGCCGGTCTCTGTAGGATATCCTAATAATATCCGTTGGATATCTCTAGGACATGCAGCGGATGTTTCCATAATATCCTGGGATATATAGTGCTATGAGGGTAGTAAAACAAAAATAATTTTGTCACCTCAACAAAAATGTTTAATACATCTTTCTTTTGTAATTCGGACAATTACTTAACGACTTTGATGAATCAAATGCGCATTTTTTCATTACATACAATACTTATTTTCTGAAAATTATATCATAAAAATAATAACTGGATTTTATATTTAAAAAAAGTAAAAACAAAATTTTATTTACGCTTTTTTAAATAATACCGATGCTTTTCTGATTAAATTTTTTAAATGTTTTTCATAATTTTATTCTTAAAGTTTTCATCAATTATATACATTGAGTTACACAGGAGGTTATCCTCTGTTCATTAATTTATTTTCTATAAATTTTAATAGAATATATATTACATTAAAAATTTTAATACTTAATTCTTTTCAGTTTTCGCTTGCTTTTGTATTTTCATTTTCATAATTATATAAAATAGAAAAGAAATTTTGAAATTCATTATCATAGAAATAATTTATAATTTATAAAAATTGGTCACAAATAAATGACAACAATAAAAGGAGCATGTCTTGCGGTTTTCGTTTTTAAATTTGATAAAAACTAGCTTAAATCTACTGTCGTGCTATCTGGATATAAACTTTGGAAATCTTATGAGTTTTATTTCATATCAAATTTTGCAAAAAATTTATCGAAACTCTTGAGTAAATTGATTAATTTTGATTTTTTGTCAAAAAATAATCGGTAGGTTAATCGTTTATAAAAAAGGAAAGTTTATATTTAATTAAAAAACGCATATTTGCTTCCAAAGCTTATAGCATTAGATTATAAAATTTCTAGGTTTTTTGGTCTTAAACTTTTTATAAAAACGGTCCTCCCTTTTTTTGGCCATAAAAGAAACGATTTTAAATGTCACTTATCGACGCCATTTCGAGAAAAAATTTCTAATTAAAATTTCTTCGCTTTATTTAATAAACTTTCTGAAAAGTTCCATTCTTTTTTTAATTTCCCCAAAATAAATAATCACAGATAAGTCTTTTTCCTTCCTCTATTAGAGTAAAAAATTGAAAATGAGTTTTTAAAATTATTTTTTTTAAATATATTTGATTGATTTAATTTAATTTTTATAATTTCAGAAAATGAGTTTCGAAGCAGACGCAATTTCCTCTTTTCCAATTGCAAATATGGCTAAAGATAAAATTAATTTAACAAAGCTTAAAGAAATTGAGAACAATCTTGATCGACAAGAAAAAATTTCTATAATGTTTCTCACGACACCAACAAAAATTGTTTTGCATAGTTATGACTTAATTTCAAACTTGCTGAAAAATCATGAAAATTGTGTACTTTCTCAATGGTTTTTGTTGGAATTTAATAAAACAAACTGGGAAGAAAAACTCTTAGAATCTTTATTATTAGTTCAGAATTTACAAATCATTAGGTATTTTGGATTCACGGAGTATGAAGAAGAACTTTTTAGAAAACAATTTCTAATCAATGAAAAAGAAGTTTCACCTAATTTAAATAGAGTATTAAAGTCTCTTTACTTATTGTGCGAAGATCTTTGCGATGAGGAGATGAAGAAAGTAGTTAATCAGTTTGGAGGGACTGATATTCAACAGGAGGAATTCGAATTGTACTTACTCTATTGGATTCAAACCAATCGCATTTCAATTTCAGGTATAGTACAAAAGATTATTTATAAAAATATCAGGAAAAGCTTTAATAAAGGTAAATAATACTATAGTTTACAGTGAAATTGACAATCGAAGAAAATTTTTTGTCTATTAGTAGGTATTTCTTGAAGAAAAAAAGTTAAATTTTTTTCCTCGTGCATTTCTTTCGATAAACGTCCGTAATCATATTTACTTTTTAAAGTATGTGAATATACATTATATACATATATATTCAATAGCAATTTTTTAGTGGAGTGAAGCTCGATTTAATAAAAAATGATAATTCTACAATAGATTTAATGACCAAAATTACTTTTCCATTTTTAGTAATTTGTTTTGAAATGTGGTTGTAAATTTTTTAAAAAAGTTTTAGTAGAAATTACGTGTGGAATTACATACGAATTTCCAGCACAATATTTTGAAAATTTTCCATTAAAAATTCGGTAGTTTTCACACGAATATCGTACAAAAGTCGTTCTGAAATGTGGTCGAAAATGTTTTACTAAATCAAAATCCAAAAACCGCTGCCAAGTTGTACATTTTTATAATTTTGGTGTTCATTTCATGAACACTTTGCTTCCTCATAGAAATAATAATAATTGAAATATAAGAATTACTTTTTATAAAAGGGTTAAAAATCATTAATTCTTGGTCCAAAAAATGTGTTTTTATATATTCTATAAGATGGTAATAATAGTTTAATAATTACACATAAGTTAATAAACAAGAATGTTGAAAAAATGATATTTTCCACAATTCTTGATTTTTCAAATACCAATAATTTCATAATTTCTGCCCGAATCAGGTTAAAAAATAGGTCAATCGAAGCGTTTTTTAATGCTCTTCAAGTTGGTAATAATTTTTTGAAGTTACTTTTACATTATTTAAAAAAATTTTTATAAAAGTCTTATTTTTCAAAATTTTATATTTTTAAAAGTTTAATATCTCCGGTTAATATAGACGAAAAATGTTCAATTAGGGCTCAAAAGATGCGTCTGAAAAAACTCTACAAAACTAAATACAAAACAAAACTTAACTTCTACATTTTTCAACAAAATTTTCAAAAAAGTTTTATTTTCTAAAATTTTTGATTTTTTAAAGTTTAATATTTCCGGTTAATATGAAGGAAAAATATTCAATTAGGGCTCAAAAGATGCGTGTGAAAAAACTCTACAAAACTAAAGAAAAACATTTATAAGTGTCCTAACATTTTTTTAAATTATGTTCAAAAAACGTTTTTTTACAAAATTAAAAATGCAAAAAAAAATAGTTAAACTTCATGAATCGGGCTGAAAATACTCTCATTTTATGTCCCCCGTGGAGACCTACAATTTAAAAAAAAATTGAGGCCTTTAGCTCTTTCTTGTTCTGAGATATTGAGGCAAATGTAATGTTAGTACACACACACACATCGGGACAAATTTTTAAAATCCGTTTTTTGGACTTCGGAGTTCAAAATACGTGGTAATTTTTTTTTATTTATTTAGAACATTTATACAGGGAGATCCTGTGCATATATAAAGTACTAAAGTATTAGGCATAATAAAAAAAAATTTATAAATATGTCAAAAAATGACAATCCAAAATTTTGCTAATACAAAGCTTCCTTTATGAGGAAGCAATAAATAAAAACGTCCAAAATAAATAATGAAACATGTGAAAAAGCCACGTTTTTACTTTTCAATCTTCAAAATAGAAATATAAAATGTTAAGTTTACCTACTTTCGATTCACAGTCATCAAAATAAACAACTAAAAAAAGACAATTTCATTCAAGGCAACCATGTAAATTTTTATATCTCAATTTTTAATTTTTAATTTCTTTTGACTTTTTGACCAGGACAAAAAATCCAAAAAGTAAGTGCAAAATGAAAACTATTATTTTTTATTTTTTGGATTTCATTTAATTTGGATTTTTTGGTTTTGTTTTGGACTTCTTGTCCGGATAGCCTTCTGATTATGATAAAGAAATTTCTGGAGAAAGCAAAAAATGTCCATGATATATGAATAAAAATTTTAAATTCTTTACAAATCTTTAGTAATATTTAAACGACTTTACATATATGCCAATCATTTTCTATTGTAGAATAATTTTTTCAAAGTGTTAAGATAAGATATTTATATAAAATTTAAATTTCCATTTTTTGTTAGAGATAAAATTAACTATTATTTATATTATAAATTATTCATTATACATTTATTTGGTATATACAAATAAACAAAATTCTGCATTCTCAAAAAAACAAAATTTTGAAAATTCAGAACTCAAAAATTTGACCATTAAATTGTGTTAACAAAAATTTTTAAGTCATAAATTTAAAAGAGCAGATTCTAATGCCCTCTGTTGCGAAGTAGTAGAAAATTTCGACTTATTATTGTGAGGTTCTAATACTGTATTACCTACCAGTTTTATAAAGTATTTCAAGAAATTGCTTTAATGAAAAATGAATTGACATCTCCTAGAAAAAGAATTTATTTTCTTATTCAATGTTTTAATTAGAAAATAAAATACAGTTTTTGAAAAATAATTTATTGCGAAATAAAAAATTAATATTTAAATCAAACAAAATTATTTTATTTAAATATTGAATCAAATAAATGTTTTTTGGGTATAATTTATTTTTGAACAGATATTTTGTTCGTAAAATAATAAGTAGAAAATTTCATATATATAATTTTTTGATATACAAGATTACTTTCTGTTTCTGTCTATACCTATGTTTGATACGAAAAGTGTACTGAGTTCAATGTTTGCCCAATAGGTTGAGCTAGGAGTATTAAAATAAAATCTGATAAAGAATGATTAACTTAGGGCGGTATTCATAGTCCCTACTTAAGCAAGGACTTAAGCTTTGCTTGATCAAGTCGGTCTTATTCGAATGAGTCGAGCTTAAGACCGTATGTATTCATAGTCAAAAATAAGCAATTGCTTGGTAAAGGAAATGCAGCTTAAGAACTTCTTGACCAAGCAAATGCTTAAGATGATCTTATTGAGCGTTCGGCTTTTTCCGTCAATATTCTCTTGTATCTACCAATAACCCAGTAAAAAAAGAAGTATTGAGTGGAGCGTTTAGGAATTGAGTGAAGCTCTGAGCCAATACGGATTCGAGTAAAAACCGTATTGGGACGTTTGACTCAATCTTTTTTTCATCCGCCGAATACGGTCTTATTTTAGCATTAAAATTAAAATCACATGAGCAGAGTACACATTATAAATTGAAAGCACAATTGTCCTGGAATGTAAAAATGCCGATTTAGATAAGAAACTGTGAATATTTTTTATTTTTTGTTAAAAATTGGTAAAAGCAAAGTTTGACAAGCGCGACTGATTTTACCATGTAAATAAATGAAGTGGCAAGTTTAAATGGACTAAAAGAAATCTTCTGTTACCGACAGAAAGTTCCTAGAAAACAATGAAATTTCATTGTTTTGTTGAATTTACCACAATTCTCTACGAACTTTCTGTTGGTAAAAGTAGATTTCTTTTAGTCCATTTCGTCCATTTAAACTTACCACTTCATTTATTCACATGGTAAATTCAGTTGCGCTTGTCAAACTTTGCTTTTACCAATTTTTAACAAAAAATAAAAAAATATTCAGTTTCTTATCTAAATCGGCATTTTTACATTCCAGGACAATTGTGCTTTCAATTTATAATGTGTACTCTGCTCATGTGATTTTAATTTTAATGCAAAAATAAGACCGTATTCGGCGGATGAAAAAAAGATTGAGTCAAACGTCCCAATACGGTTTTTACTCGAATCCGTATTGGCTCAGAGCTTCACTCAATTCCTAAACGCTTCACTCAATACTTCTTTTTTTACTGGGAAGCGATAGTAGATAGCTTATATTCATTAGAAAAAATGACGCTAATGCACATAAAATATCTGATAAGGGAGAGGAGGGGGGGGGGGGTAAAAAAACTGAAAAATATGCATATTTAATATTTTTAGGATAAAAGTTATAAAGTAAAAGGATACAAGAAATGACTACCAGAATGATGAAAAATTGAAATATTCTTATTCCTCACGAAATATTATATTTAGATTCTAAATGTTTCTGTATTAAAAAATAGAAAAAATTATTTTAACTATTATTATATTGTTTCTAAAAAAAATTATTGAGTCAGAATCAGTGAAATTTTACAAAAAAATAAGGAGTATTTTTATAATCGAAATGAAAAACAGCATTTTTATTTAGCCATTGTCTCTAACAAACAAACGACAGAAAAAATTTTGTTTAAAAAAAGTTATTGTAAAATGAATTTTTTTGCAACTTTTTATAAAAAAATCTTATTTTTCCTAAAACAATGAACCAAGAGTGCATATAAAAGGGGTAAAACAATTAACTTTCATTTGGAACTACAAAATTTTTAAAAATAGTATTTTTTAATAATTATTTAATATTAACAGTTTTATTTCCTCATAGGGTGTCGATTTTCTTAGAATCAATTATTTTTACAAATTTTCAAGTATAGCGCGTATATAAATATTTCAACATGGGGAACAAATTCTCCGGATGTATGTGTGTGGATGCATATCGAAATGTTTTTTCAACATTTCGATGAAAAAAAAATACTTTTTATTTCTCGTGAAAATTTTATAAATTTTGAACCTTTTTCTAAATTATTAAATTTTAATTATTATTAAATTGTTTTTAACAAAAAATCTTTTCATTTTTATTATAAATATTTATAAAAAGACAATAAGTAATTGCTTAAGTCATGTAAAACGTTGACTTAAAATCATAACCTCAATTCGTTCAAATAAGCTCACCGGCAATGTCAAATAAGATCATCTTATTTGACTATGAATACTTGTCATTCTTAAGATGGGACTATGCATCTCAAAATCAAAGCATTTACTTTGTCAAGCATACCCAGGCGCGAAAGACCAGTGCTGACGATGGATTGAAACTTGACTGAGTCTTGAACGCCCAGCGTGGGTAACCCAGAGTTGAAGCAGTCTTTATATCATTGTCACTGAATATTGGTTCAGCATGGGAC